AGGCGTGCTCTCAGGGATGTTTATTGTTTTCTGGCGAGTGCCATGGAAGACCCCGCCGGAAACTGTCCCTCCGACGACGGTGGTACTGACCACCAGTTGACGTGCCACTTGCATTGCGACCACTGCTTCAAGGGGTCAAGGTGCGATCTTGGAGCCGCGGGGGCGATCGGCAAAACCAAAGTTATCTGCGCCGTGATTCACTGCCCGAATGCGTGCGGGTGCTCTTTTCACCAGTGCAGACTCAATGAACACCTGTTGCTATGTTCCCTGGCCAAGGTACGTTGTGTGAACTCGATATACGGCTGTCCGTGGTGGCTTCTTCGTGGCCAGCGGGGGACCCATCTCACCAAGTGCCCCGCTTCGGTCGTGTACTGCAGTTTACAACGAAGCCGAGAGCTGCTGGACAAGAATGTGAAGAGCTTTACGACATCTGATAACGTCGGCTCCGTTTCTTTGACCGAGACTACGCCGATCGACGTTGCCTTGGCCTTAGACGATCAGCGGAAGATTCTGGACTTGTTGAAGGTAAAGAAGTCTATACGGAAGAAGTACTGCAACCGTTTCAACCTGTTCTATCCGATTATTCCGTTGAACGACGCGTCGCCTAACGATGGTGAGGAAAATGCTGGCGAGGAAGAAGACGTAGAGGAAGAGGAGGAAGAGGATCAGCGCTCCAAGGCTTGCCCGGTTTCCCGGGAATGTTTCCAGTGTCGAATGGATCCAAGCAGCCAGCACTTGCATACCGTCGGGTCGATGGACACGACGCCGACATCTTCAGACCGCAACTATCGCTTAGTTAAAACTGAGAACCCGGTGCCGTTGCCGAAATTCTACCAAGGTCTCGGCCTACACGTTGGTCTTAGCTCGGAGTTCTTCTCTTCCTATATGCCGAAACCGAGGAACTACTTCACGATCATGTGTGACTGTAAGATGCGCAGGGACGAGGTCGGCCTTCACTACCAAAACGTCCATCTGAACGTGGTCAACTCGCTGGACGGCTGGATAGTGGCTAGATGTCCGAACTTTCTTCTGGGATGTAAAGTGTTCGCCCTCAGGCTCTCTTTGTCGTCATCGCCAACCAACCTTCATGACGTAATTTCCTTCGATGCCGCTACGGGTACTTTTCCGATTCGAACCATTTCTGATGACGATGGACCACCTTTCGAGTGCCTTGACCTTTTGTCTCTCCCCGATGTCGCATTGATTCGTGTTTTTGATTTTCTCGATTCTTTCGGTCTCTTTTGTGTGTCTCAGACATGCCGTCGTCTGCGCAAGCTGTGCCATACGATCTTGCCAAAAAGAGGCCTTGTTGAAGTCTTGTGGGTGAAGCAAACGAACAACGGCGTTGTTCACTGGAAGCCGTCCAAAAAGAAGTGGTTCTTTAGCAGAGAAATTGTCAACCATTCTTCATGGACCGTGCAGCCCGTCGATCGCATTTTAAATCACCTCAGACAGTGTCCTTTCACAGAGCTCGTCGAACACCCATCGAAGGTACCTGTTTTGAGGTTCAGCAAACACAAGTCTTCAGTTTCATTATAACATTTTGCGGTGGTGTAATCGATGCTACCGACTACGGAACATTACCCGCTCAAAGCCACGATCAACTCCACTACTACATTAGAATGTCTTTTTTTAAACGTGATTTTCTCGTTGCCGTGTGACGATTACAAAATAAAACTTAATAAGTCTAAACTCAACAAAAGTAATTCTTTGACACAGTAACATCACTGAAGATCACTTCATATGATTAGATACTTAATTCAGCATTTTTGGCCAAAAAGTATTGCTCTGCTGTGACAGCATAGTCTTGCCATCTTGAAGCAAAGAAAGTTGATCTTACACCTTACACGTTCATGAAAGGGTCATTTTAAACGCCCTAATATTTTATGAAGTTAATGGTGCGACGCTTATCTCTATTTCCATGTCATCAGCCAGAGGGGCTTTATTTATTTAAAGGTAGCAATGTGACAAACAGTATG